TTGTTGACTGGCTACTTTAGAATTGCTGAAAGCCGCACATCTTCAAAGAAAAAGAAGAATGAAAATACTTCAGAATCATAGAATCCTTGCAGTGTGGAAACAGGCTATTTGGCCCAACAAGTCCACACCAATCTTCCAAAGAGCATCCCACGCAGACTCACCCCCTACCCTACCCTGTAACCCTGCATTTCACATGGCCAATCTATCCAACCTGTACATCTTTGGACTGTAGGAGGAAACCAGAACACCCAAAAGAAACTCCACACAGACAGCCCCCTGAAGCTGGAATTGAACATGGGTTCCTGGTGCTGTGAGGCAGCAGCGCTAACCACTGAGCCACCAGACTTAACACAGAAAAGAGGAAGAAAAGTTAAACTGAACCTGCACTTAAGAGAAGTATTTTCAGGAGCCTGTGACCAGAAGACCACACAAGAATAAAAAAACCTGTGTGCATGCATTATATGCACTCACATATACTTAAACGCAACACACATACATGTGTACAAATAGGTATACACACTGCTCCTTTTAATCTGTAGTAATCAGGCCATAATAATCAGGATTTGGGTATACAGGACATAACTTCAAAGTTTGCAGTTGACACAAAACTCAGAAATACAGTCAACAGTGAGGTGAAATGTATAGTTATAAGGAAGATGAAAGTTAATGCTCATACATATATGAAAATATAGAACAGCGATATAAATTATTTTTAATTTTAAAGGAAGTGCAGTAAGAGATCTAGAACTGTACATACATATACAAAAGTTGAAGGGCCAGTATAGAGGGATGTTTAGAAAAGCATTTTGGATATTTGGCTTTATAAATAGAGGCAATAAATACCAATGGCTTTAAGTTATGCTGTATGCTGTATACTGTACCAGTGCTGTAAAACACTGGTTAGGTGTTATGGTCCCAGCTGATGTTACTACTGGTCAAGTCAGATCCAAGACTGATATCTGGCTTGATATATCATGATTTGTTTTTTTTTTTTTGTTCATGTAACATGGTAGTCTTTCACTGAAGCATAAGCATGCTATGCTGCAGATTGTGTTTTTACAATAAAACGCAAGTTAATTATGCAAAAGAAATGAAGATAAAATAGAACAGACCCAACTATTTATATACAACACAATTTAAAAGATTTCGAAACGCATGGCAAAATACAACCCTATCTATTCCGAAAACCACTTTGCTTTAACAAAAACAGAAGTTGCTGGAAAAGCTAAGCGGGTTTGGCGGCATCTGTGAAGAAACAATCAGAGTTAATGTTTTAGGTCCGGTGACCCTTCCTCGTAGCTGTTCCATGGAAGGGTCACTGGATCTGAAACAATAATAACTCTGATTTTTTTTTTTCTTCACAGATGCTGCCAGACCTGCTGAGCTTTTCCAGCAACTTCCGTTTTTGTTCCTGATTTACAGCATCCGCAGTTCTTACAGTTTTTATTTACCACTTTACACTTCTCAAATACCAGAGAGAGTTGTCTACTCCATCACATCTATAGATTTAACTTAATTGTTTTTTTTCTTAATTCTCAGTCTTGAGTGTTTGGCCGTCTTTTCCTTTATTTTTCATACATTTTGACGTTAAATTTTCTTTGCTTCAAATAACCCCTTCACGTTTCCAACCAAACAGTTTTGGATTGTAATTTGTCAAACTAAAACTCTTCCTAAGGTAACTTCTTGCTTTACTGGTCTGAAGTAACTCCTTTGTCTTGCATCTGAACCCAGCCAAGTTTTCCGGGAATTGCAACAAAAACCTTTCCAATCCATGGCTTTTCCCACGCAAAACAATCAGTTATTGATTCTTGTGAACCAAAAGCAGGCTAATGCCTTTCAACGTTTGCTTTCTCCAATCGTAAAACTCTCATAATACATACTCATGTTATTACTCCAGGAGGACCTACTCACCTTCTCACATGATATGCTGGTTTAAAATCCTGGCTTCAGAAAGCTGGTTAATAACTACCTCATACACACAGGCCAAAACCCACATGCCACTAGTTCAAAATCCAAACTCTTAAAATGAATGATATCACACCTTAATCTCACATGCCACTGCTAGAGTATTTTTTTTAAAGCTCTCGACTGCATGCTTTCAGGAAGATAGCAAGACTTGAGAGAGGAAGATTTACTAGAATAATACCAGAGATCAGTGACTTGAATTCTGTGCAGAGACTGGAAAAGCTGGGATTGTTCTGTTTTACAACAAAGGAGGCTAGGAGGTAATTTGATAGAGGTAGTCAAAATCATAAACAGTTTTGACAGAGAATAAAACTTCTATCAAGTGACAAAAGGATAACCAGAAGAAACAGATTTAAGGTGATTAGCAGAAGCAGCAGGAGGAACCATTTTCTTCATAGCCAGTTGATAGGATCTGGAGTGTAATTCCTTTAAAGAGTGGTAGAAGCGGATGCAAGATTTGCATTTGAAAGAGAATTGGAAAAGTACTTGAAAAGACTTGAGAGAAGGAGTGGGGAGTGGGATTAACTTGACAGCTCTACCAATGAACCAGTGCAAGAATGAATCAAGTGGCTACCTCTTTCTGATTTTTACATAAAACATATACACACGTTTGCACACCCATGTATTTTAGACATATGGGTGATCATAAATCATCAGCCTGCTTCAAAATGGGCTCCACTTTCTTTTCTGTTGGCTTCAGCAATAAAGAATCCTGGAGTACAGCAGGCTGCTGATTTACTAAGCCCCTGAATTTTATTGGAACTGAGTAGTTTTGCCCTTGATGCCCTAGAAAGGGAGTCAGATAAATCTTTGGGATTAGGTACCATTAATCCTTGTCTGTGCTAAATGACAACACTCAGGAGCAGATGTTTTTGTCACCACTGCAAGACAGAATCTCCACAGTAACCAAATCTCTTTAAGTGATGTAACAATTGGGCAATGACCTTAACAGTGCAAACTATGAAGGTGGTAGCAATGTTACATTGTCAATGATTAGTGTTGATGGATTTTGCTCAGGTTTCAACCCTGATGGCTAGGCTGGTGTGAGAGACTGAAGGCCATTTAGGTATATAAGAACAGGAATGAAACTGAGGGGGAATGAAATTCCCTGATAACACCACAGTCAGTTTCTTTTTTAAAAAAAGACTGTCTCCTACAGTTAAATCCACACAATAAAATGCAGGGTTACAGGGATGGGATGGGATGGGGCCGGTCTGAGTCGGATACTCTTCTGAGGAATTTTGTGGACTTAATGGCCTGTTTCCATACCTTGGGGCTTCCAGCCGCAACAGAATATTCTCTAATTTAATCTAGTCTTATTAGTAACACTGCTTTAAGGTGGAGATAGCTCAATGTGTTGTTACATATATTTAAGTACATTACCCATAGGAGTAAGTCACATAGCCCCTGAATCAACTTTGCCATTCACTAAGGTGATGCTGAAGTTTTACAATTATACCTCTTTCCCACTTTCCTCCTGTTACTGGTAAAGGCCTCTAAGAATTTAATACTTTCAACGATATTACTTCTCATTCTGCTAAACCTCTCATCACACCAATCTAAAAAATCTTAATTGCAATCTCTCCAAGGCCATATATTTATCTTCCTTATGTACAGTGACCAAAATGTCCCACCAGTGGCCTTTATGTGGTTTCACAACAAAGCCCAATATAGTAATTGTAGCAAGGTTTCATTACTTAGAGTGCAGTAAAGGCTAACATAATATTTGCCATCCTAATAGTTTATGTACATAACCTTCATGAATCTTGTAGAAGGACTTGGTTGCTGTGCTCTTAAATAATCCAGTTTGAGATTGGGATCCCTTCAGAATTTCTTCATTGTTCTGATTAATAAATGTACCATTGTTACAGTTTGGAATGTTAATGATTACTATAATTGTTCTCTTTGGCTGTTTGCTTCAATGGAATCTTTCCAAATTTTCCAAAGTAGTTTTAAAACCAAAAGATGTGAAGTAACAACAGTTTAGAAGGAGTGCTGTTTAAATTAAATTAAAATTAAGGTTCCATTTGCCCACTTGGGCAGACATGAAAGATCCTGCTGTGCCATCCAGAGAAGATTAGAGGCACTATTCCAAAATTTCTTGACTTATCCCTTAACTAACATCATTTAAACAGAAAGTTGGGTCATTAACACATTTTACTTGGAACAAACTGACAGAATGGCAAGAACATGGTAGTCAGTGCCCACCATTTAAAGTACTTCACTGTAAGATAATTTTGGCTGGCTAAGGTTGTAAGTTCTATCAGGATTTTAAGTTACAGTGGTAGTGTCCTTACCTCATGGCCAGGGTTCCTGTCTCATCTGTTCCAGTAGTGTGTAATAAAATCTCTGAACAGGTTAAGTAGAAAATATCTATAAATGCAAGTTCATTCTTTATCACAAAGCATTTCAGCTGCATGTTATCACCTCCAGCAATGCAGCACTCCTTCACTTAGTCTTTATCCTAGAGAATTCAAAATATCTGGAACACTGAAACAAAACAGATAAAAAAGCAAATGCTCCAAGCAGGAGAGGATATGTTGATATTGCATAGATCACTGCTGTTCCAATTCTGAACCATTTTAGCATACCTGATTTGGACCAATGTCTGCCTAAGCGCTAAGCTTGGAAATTCCCTCTCTAAACGTGTTTGCCTGTCCACTTCACTGTACCTTTAAAGCACTCCTTAATTCCTGCTTATTTAGCAAGCATTTGACCGAATATCTTCTGAGGTGACTTGATGCTAAATTTTGTTTGGTAATTGCTGCTGTGAATCTCTGTGAGATGTTTCACTCTATTAAGGATACTGTATAAATATAAGTTCTTGTTGCATGTTGAGCAGTTTTGTTCACAGAGGCGATGGAGAAGTTTGTTTCAAAAATGGAACAAAGATTTGCTGATGTTGTGCCTTTCACCTTGCTTTTTTTGGTGGAGATAGATTTGGGAGAACAAGGGAGGGTGATCAAAAATCATTGAAAAGGATCAACTTCAACTGGATTTAATTATTTCATTTTCTTTATTGTCCTCTTTTCCAGATATGAAAACTGTGTCTACACTTACAGGATTTTTATAAATGAGGATAATTTGTTGTCTGTTCAGGTAGGTGATCACTTTAATCAAGTTTAAACTACTGAACTGTCAAACCTGTAATACTATCAACCTACTATGACAAATCTCTCTAAAGGCCTTGGGAGAGGTGAGTATGAAAAAGATCCAAATATTTACTGAGATAACAAGGTGTAGAGCTGGATGAACACAGCAGGCCAAGCAGCATCAGACCCTTCTGATGAAGGGTCTAGGCCCGAAACGTCAGCCTTCCTGCTTCTCTGATGCTGCTTGGCCTGCTGTGTT